CATATTTTTAGATGTTTTAAGAAAAGAATTTTATACTTAGAATCTTTTTATGAAAAACAGACCAGAGAGGCTCTGGTTGGCTTAYACGTTGAACTAGAGAGGCTCTGGTTGATCATGTCTTTTGAACCAGAAGCTCTGGTTAGTACAACCAGAGGCCTCTGGTCGAGGAACCAGAAGCTCTGGAAGAAAGACCAGAGGGGCTTTAGTCCTGTATGTTGAAATATATTCCAAGTGTGGTTTGGAACTAGAGGCCTGATGGACCGAAGCAGTATGTTTTTAGTTTTGCTTCATAAGATGAGTGATTTRAAATAAATGTTTTGGTGATCTTCACCCTGCATTACATAAAAGGGAACCTCACTAGACATTCATGTCTAACCCTCATTTCGCGTTTTCAAAATTATGTGTGCAGGTAAAGATAATAAGGGAAAGAGCATTATGTAAATTACTTCCCTATGTGCTTAGCTGTTTTGGAAGCATAGATGCTAGGATGCAACAACATGTACTTTTGAAATTTTTGGGTTGCGTATTTTACATTATAAGCTCTTGTATCAAGGACCTATGTGGGAAAAACATGTATTCTATATATGAAATATGTGTTATATGCAATGTATGGATTTGTGGTGTTACAGATTGGTATCAGAGCCTGAGTTTAAGGGATTTAGGTATTCACATGCATGATACCTAGACTTAAACTAGTTCATTGCATATTAGGGTTCCAGACATAGTTAGCACCTTTTGGAATAAATATAATAAGTTAAGAGATCAGTGTGTAAGGTATTTTCGGATTACATCTGGCCAATGTAATTTTTGAATCTACAAGTACATAACTGAACTTGGACACTTTATTATATTCGGGAATGTGAAAAATGTTTGTTTTAACTTTGTTATCTACAGATGGCTAGTAGATCAAGAAGGTCAGAAAGGATCACCCACCCCAATGAAGAAGAATCTCATGTTGCTCATATTGGCACCTCTGAGGGCAGAAGTAGAGGCAGAGGTAGAGGCAGAGGTAGGGGGCAGACCAGAGGCAGAATAAGCCAGCCAGAAATTAATATGAATCAAGCAGAATCAAACTCTGAAAATATGAATCAAGAACGGATGTCTCACC